ATATTTGTATAGAGATATGTGTGTCTCTATGTTTCTCCATACAAATAAAAACTCACACACTGTCTCTCTCTCATGGGGGGAGGGGTCTCAAAAAAAAATGTTAAATAAAATATATCTTTGATTGTGAGTGTGTATATATACATGCACACCCATCTCTCTCTCTTTTTATATATGTATTTTTTTGTCTATGTATATATATATATATATATATATCGATCTATATATCAATATATATATCTTTCTCTATATATATATATATATATATATATATATATATATATATATATATATATATATATATATATATATATATATATATATATATATATATATATATATATATATATATATATATATATATATATATATATATATATATATATATCAGACACTTAAGGTATATTCTTTAGGCAAAGCAAAGTGAGTTGTCACAGTGTCACAGTGTAGGTATTTGGAAAAATTTATAAGATTGTTCTATTGCATGCACACGACACCGATGCCAATGAGATTGGACAATGAATAGCTACACAGCTGAATATTTGAACCCATTGGTCTCATGCTTCTTGGAGGGGGAGACCTTGTAAACAAAGTTTCGAGCTGCGGCATACTTTCAAAAACATGTTTTTTGTCTAGCAATTGCCTTTTCTTGGTATCGTATTATAAAATCGCTTCATTTTATGTTGAGGGGATGTAGCTCAGATGGTAGAGCGCTCGCTTAGCATGCGAGGCACCGTGATCGATACCTGGCATCTCCATTGAAGCCTAGTGTAGGAACTCAATTGGAAGCTAGGTTGCCATGTATCTTTGTTCGTTCGTTCATATGACTATTGACTGTCACACAACAGCAGCATCACAACTCTCGCTTTCATGAACAAAGCGAAGAGTAGATTCATGATGCCTCCTAGGGATGCTGAGTATGCGGATGCCCTTTGCGAGGGAGTATATGTACCGCAAGACTGTCACGGAGTGGAGCGAATTCTGATGATCAGATTGAAGGACTTCTTTTTGTTTCTACTCCTGATGAAACATGCAACAGAGATCAAATTTCACGGTATTTATTCATGTTTGATCCGTTGCACGGAGCCACATACAGCTTTTTGTTTTTCAATGGTCTCTATCTAGGCGATCCGTATTTCAAGTTTTCCATGCAATTATCAACCAAAACTCAGAACAGGATTATGTTTGGTTCCAAAAAATATGTTGTGTTTGTGCGGAGGAAGCCACATTTCAAACACTAGCTTTCTCAACGCTCCCCAGTCTGTCATACATTGATCAGTCTTCTAGAAATTTTCGTATGGCTTTCCTTGCCAACTGCGTGAATTGTAAGCGCGGTGGGAAAACCCGGCCGGGCTTCTCGAAGCATGAGAACGCTTGCAAACCTTTGCTTCATCGCGGGACCTCTAGTCGTTGTGGTTCGTGATTTCCTGGACTCTTGAGTGAAAACTCTTCCTCAAATAACAGGAACTAGTAATTCTTGTTGACCCGCTCCATGGTGACGGACATGGTGAGTCCCAATATCTTCTTTTACTTGCTTCTGTTGAGCCCCAGACACTTGCTTCCTTCCTGCAGCTCCCGGGACATTTCTGCTTTCTCTTGTCCAGATCACAAACCAATCTCCATGCTGTTCTAGCGACGAAAAGCCTGATGGATAGATAATCTGTTCAATTTGTGACCACGACCAGGAAACTCCTGAATGCTTCACCACTTAAAACCAATAGTTCCCGAGCCAGAAGTTCTCGATGATGATAGCTCATTTCCAGCTGAAGAGGCTCCTGCGTAATAACCACCCTTGCGTCTCGAATATCTTCCATCCGGATTGGAGTCGGGTTGCTTGTCAAATTCACTTCGAAAGCTGAGACGCTTCTGCATACCAAGCTGATAGAGTGATGCCTCTAGAGAAGTCAAATGGCTTTGCTGGATAATGTAGTCTCTCGTAGCCCTGAGCACCTTGATCACACGTTGAACATCGGATGTCGAGATGAGGCTCCAAAAAGACTCGATTGTCCGTGCCACTAGTATTGCAGCTACTTCGAATGAGTGATGTTGGTGCTGTCTGAGCCACGGCAGTTTGCGATGATAAGAAATGAGGATTTCCTTGGCGGAGAACTTGTTGCATGCACCTTCATCTTCTTCCAAACTGCAGCTCCGACTCTTCCTCTGGAAACCCGCCCCTGTGTGGCATCTCTTCAAGATCTTCTTCTTTGCTCCTCCTCGTACGCGGAGGCCTCGTCCAGAAACAGTGGAGAAGCTACTTCAGCTTCCGCCTTCCTCCCACCACCTGAAGCTGGCTCTTCCTGAGCCATAAGGCTTGCTATAATGGTGTTTGACGATTAGAGTGAAGATATCATCGCCACAGACTTACCTTGGAGCTGATACTGCGATCAGGATTGCATGGATATTCTTTGAAGCGTCCGTAAAGTTACCAGGGTGTCACCAAGTCGCCCGATTCTAAAGTTTGTACCATTTGTGTTACGGCTGTTTCAAGTGGTGCGGCTGCTCTCACTGCTGCTATTGCTGCTGCTGTTGGCGCTGCAAAAGACGACGAGCCACAAACCTCGACTCTGGCTTCATGCTTGTTAAACTTGGCAGGCGAGCTTGTGACCCCCCTGTCCCGCTTTATCTTCTTCCAAACGAGCCCATGCAGCACCGACACCTCTTCAAAATCAGCACATTCTTGCTGCTCCAAATGCTCTTCTTCGAGGACTCGTCCAGAAACAATACACCAGCAGCTGGCCGTGGATTGACGAAATGGCTTTTCTTCAAAACCAGCCCGTGGTGTTTCTTCCAAATCTTCTTGCTGCTCCAAGTGCTCTTCGAATGCGGAAGACTCGTCCAGAAACAAAGGAGGAGTTACATCCCCTTCTGAGCAGCTGATCACGGACTGAGCACATTCTTGCTGTACGAGACAACACTACGATCTAGCTGCTCGCCTTCCACCCCTTCTGAGCAGCTGATCACGGACGGAGTGACAGCGTCTTGATTGGACGCTTTAGTCGTCACGGCCACAAAAGGGATGGTCTTGCTGACGCTGTTGCACAGCAAGAGTCTTCAACTCCACGTCCACCATTAAGTTGTAAAGGAGCTGTATGCCGTCCTGAAAGAGAAGAGTTCCCTATTGTATGGAACTCCCACTGGGCCACATTTTCAGCAGCATTTTGAGTTGCTAAGGCAGGAAGCAAAGATCGCGAGTGAGTTGCATTTCGTGCGCCGCATTTTGACATTCTCCTTTGCAGTGGATGAAAATCAAAGGTTGACGGCTCGCAGAAGTGGTTCTTGCAAGAACTGCAGAGAAATGAAAATGGCTTCCTACAAAGATGACAACAGTGAGAATCGACAGCACTGGTTAAAGAACAGTCTACCTCGGTGCGTATAGTTCTTGATCCTTGCAGAGGACAAGTGTTTAGGTACCTCGTGAATAGCTCTCTCACGTCTTCCACCTGATTCAAGCGAGTAAACACTCAAGTCCCACAAGTTTAATAGCGAAGCAGTACCGCGGATGATCCGTCAAGCTCCAGGCTCTCCTCTAGACCAGCTGGACCTCCGAACACGATAAGCGCATGCCTGTGTAACCCATGAATAACACAAGCAAGAGAAACTGCACGTAAACCTCACCTAAAACTAGGAACGCGAAGATCGCTAGTCAGGACTTTCTCTCCGTGCTCTGACGTACCAATGGTGTAGTCGTAGCCTTCCTTGAAAAGTGAAAAAACACTTGAGATGATAGATAAGAGAAACCGGTTTGGCACCTCGAAAGACGAATCGGAGAAAGCTTTAGTCAGGCGATCCACGACACGAACTGTATAGCCCCAGTACAGACCAGCACTCTCTCTCGGTGTGCTGGAAGGGACGACGGACAATTTCTTTCCTGAAATAAAGATCAAAGGGAAACACAGCGATTAAACAAGTGATTGTGAACTTTTTAGCGACACCTCGCTTCAGATTTTTGTCAGTAGATCCCATAGCGACAGTAATCCTGGTGCCTGCATTTACAGTCTCCTGAATCAAAACATCCTGCACACAAACATGACAATTACTCATACTCCCAAGTTCATCGATAAACAAGGAAAAAGCTTACCTGGCCAAGCCCAACATCAGCATAACATCCATTGCCACGACTCTTCTCGAAGCTTTTGTCCAAAGCAACTCCTACACCTCTCAAGACTTAAAACGCGAAAGGATGAGCAACGCTACCTTCTCGGAATGGCAACCATGCTTGCTTTCGGAGATGATGAGGTGAATCCAGCGGCGGCAATTGTCCCTGAAGAAGCAAAGGCATGCATCAGAAAGAAAGCTCGAAAGAGTTCTAGCTTGGTTACAAAACCGCATATCGGAGGCTCTTGTGCATTGGAACGAGCGCTCGCCGCAAGTACTGAGGAACCTCCAAGTAGCGAAGAACTCGAGCAAGAAACTCGCCACCACTCGCCTCACCCGTCTCTCTTCCCCATCCGGTCCGCTGGAACGAGCTCGCGGAGCTCTCTCCATCGTCGAAGACAACGATCTACAAGAAAATCTATCGCCTTCTCTCGAGAAAGAAAGAAAGAATACCTCATCGATTCGAAATATCGTGGCAGCTCTCGCGATTTGCCCCGCGAGCTAGAAAGAACCAAAGGAAAGATCACTGCCACAGCGCCCCGAGCCAATGCTTACCCGTGTGGCGAGCTCTAGCGACTGCGCATTGTTGATGATCGATCCAGATACGGCCAAGCTCACAGTGTACTTGCGACCAGAGGAGCCGGAATCCAGCGCTTGCGAGGAATCGGCATCGCCATGCTTCCTCTTCCCCATCGCGAACTATAAACCCTAAAGTAAAACCGTGAATGTTGTGGGGCATTTTGCGGCATAAAGATCTCGGGCACAAGCATCGCCGCAGCTACTCCCGGATTGCCAGGAACAGGAAATTCGACCGATTGATCGCGGGCACGTCTCTGGCAGCGCGATCGGCCGACACGAATCTCCAAACCCTAAGAGAGGAACTGGACCAGGTGCTAGAGGGGAAGATCCGCGGGAATCCAACGCTCTACGGCGATCTTTTGCGAAGAATCCGCGCCGCCAAGGCATTGCCAGAGGGCATCCGGCTCCACGGCCATGTCGCCCAGACCCAATTCAATGGCGACATCTACGTGTGGAATCTCCTCGTCCAAATGTATGGCTCTTGCGGATGCCTCGAGAGGGCATGCTCGGTATTCCAAGAGATCTCTTCGCCAAATAGCTTCTCGTGGAACATCATGGTCGCAGCATATGCCCAGAACGGGCATTTTCACGGGGCATATTCTACGTTCAAGAAAACACCCGAGAAGGACATTGTCACCTGGTCGACGATGATCGCGGCGTGCGTCCAGAACGGCCAAGGGCGAAGAGCCCTAACTCTCTTCCGGGAGATGGACATCGAGGGGACAACGCCGACCAAAGTGGCGTTCCTCAGCGTGCTCGAGGCCTGTGCTGCTACTGGGTCTGTGAAGGAAGGCCGGCAAATCCACGCCGAGGTCCAATCCTCGCTAGAGCTCTCCCGGGATGCAAAGATCCAGACCGCCATCGTCAACTTCTACGGCAAATGCGGGCTGCTGGTGGAGGCGCGATCGATGCTCGATGCCGCGGAAGATCGCTGCATCGTCTCCACCAACGCGATGATCTCGGCGTACGTCAAGCACGGCCAGATGGATCAAGCCCGGGAGCTGTTCGACTCGCTGGAATCCCCAAACGTGTCGACGTGGAACTCCATGATCAAGGGGTATGCCCAGCTCGGGCATATCGCCACCGCCGTCGATTTCCTCAAGCGCATGGACTTGGACGGCATCCAGCCCAACACCATGACGCTGCTCACGCTCTTCGACGCCTGCGCGACCATCCCGGCCCCCGCCGAGGGCAAGCTCGTCCACGCCAGCGTCGATCGGGGCTTCGACCGCGACGGCCCCATCGCCACCGCGCTCGTCTACATGTACGGGCGCTCCGGCGGCCTGGACGCCGCGAGGGCCATCTTCGACCGTCTGCCGGACAGGGACGTGGCGCCGTGGACGGCCATGATCGCGTCGTACGCGCACAACGGCCATGGCGCCGCGGCGCTCGAGCTGTTCCAGCGCATGGCGCTCGACGGCTCGCCGCCCAACGCCGTCACCTTCAACACCATCCTCTGCGCGTGCAGCCACTCGGGCGCGCTCTTCGACGCGCGCGGCTACTTTCTGGAGATGCAGGGCAGCTTTGGGATCAGGCCGGACGCGGGGCATTTCGGGAGCATGATGGATCTGCTGGGCCGCGCGGGCAAGCTGGGCGACGCCGAGGAGCTCGCCTACGCCGCGCCTGGGGAGCCGGGCTCCATGGCGTGCACCGCGCTAATGGCCGCGTGCTCCACCCACGGCGACGCCCAGGCCGCCGGCAGGCTCTTCGCGTGGAAGAGCTCCGAGGCCGAGCCCCACGCCTCGTCGCCCTACGTCCTCCTCCACAACATCTTCACTATCGAGTCCTAGTCCGTACGTTTCGTGGGCTTGTGACAGCGAATTCCGTACCAACCGCCGCATTCTGGAGGATATTCTAAACGTCGCTGTACGGCAGAGGGCTCGCAGTGCTTTCCGTACCAACTGCCGCATCTTTTCAGAACCTAAAAGGATATTTTACGGGAGTTACGGACAACGAAGATTCTATGCACGGAAGAAAGATTCGCGGGTACTTGGGATAGAACTTCCCAGCCCTAGAAACAGGGCTAGGGCAGCGATGAACGGCAAGGTCTATGGCGTGCGCAAGGTGTTTGGCGCCTCCATGGACGAGGAGTTCGAGGTGAGTTTCGTGGAGCACATGTGGAGCACGCACGGCCGCGCGGAGGTGGCGAGCAGCGCCGCGTTCAAGAGTTACAGCGGCAGCAAGAACCCGGTGGCCATCGCCAGGACGTCGTGGCCGGGCTTCTCCGCCTTCCTCGAGCACCTCCAGGACGTGGGCAAGTGCCGGCTGCGCAAGGACGAGGGGCAGCGCTACGCCATCACGATGCTCGACCCCGGCTGCTCGCCCGGCGGCGGCAAGCGGAAGGCCGAGGACGAGAAGGACGAGCGCGTGCTGGGCGAGCAGATCCAGCGCGCCGCCAAGACCCTGCGCAAGCACCTCCACTCCAAGAACACCGCCAAGCCCGGCGAGCTCCAGAGAAGCGAGAAGGTGTCCTTCACCCTTCCCCGCCTCGCGGCCGCCTCCTCGAGCAGCAGCAGCGCCGCCGCCGCCGCGGCGTCTGGTTCCATCGCCACCGCCGCCGCTGCTACGTCCACCGCCATCTCCGCCGCCGCCACCGAGACGAGCAAGAAGCAACTGAGCCCCCCGGCGCCGCTGTTCCAGGCCATCGCGGAGCCGCCGGACAAGCCACCCGAAGCTCCTGCTCCGCCGCTAGCGCTCATGAGTCGATCCAAGATGGAAGCCATCACCCGGCAGCTCGAGGCCGAGAAGCTGAAGGAGCTCTTCAACCTGCCGAGGAGTCCCAAGTGGGTGGACGCCGGGCTCATCGTGAGGATCACCCGCCACCCCCCGCGGCATCTGGAGCGATTCGCCAAGCAGGAGGCGGTGGTGGAGGACGTGAACAAGGACGGTCTCACGGCGCGGATCCGGCTCCTCCGCGACCGCCACGGGCAGAGGCTGACGATCGAGCAGGACCTCCTCCGGACTGTGGTTCCCGGCATCGGCGAGCTCGTCCGGGTCGTCAATGGTGGCTTCAAAGGCTCCGACGGTACCATTGTGGACAAAAGCTCGCGGGACAAGACCGCCAAGGTATCCTTCTCCAGCGGTGAGTTCAAGGGTAGAGAAATCGCTGGAATCTCATATCGTGATATGTGCCTTAGAGATCTGGAAGAGATCGTCACCCCTTGGAGGCTACGACACCACAGGTAAGCTCCCCAGGCCATTCTTTGCGCGGCTGCTATGGCTATGGTGGGATCCCAGCGAGCTCTGTTGTGAGGCTTGCCACCACCTGGATCATGTTTCCTTTTCAATGAATCCCAAGCCAGGAGTTACTGTTCTTCCGGTTCTTCCTAGATCTTTGGAGATAGACTGGTTCTTTGGATAGATTGTCTGGAACTTGAGAGTCTACTCTCGCAGCTTTTGCTTCTTTTTCTTTTTCTTCTTCTTCTTTGTTGTTGTGGCTCGGATGTCCATGGCTTGGTTTTGGAGGACTTTGTTCTTGGTGAAAGCGTTCGTTCTACTTTCTTCTTCTTCGTCTTTGGCGGCTTCGTTCTCGCCTGGGCCGGCTTCCAGCTGATCGGACTCTCGCTTGCCATTCTCGATTTGCTTTCGCAGTCTCTTCGACACTGGCGATGCGATGGGAAGAGCTGCTTGAGTGTGAGGAATGAATTTCGCTCCTAGGCACAGTCTGTGAAGAAAGAAGGAAATCCATCCTCAACTGTCGATCGATCGCAGAGGAGATTTACCGCAATGGCCGTGCCTCCGGCTCCGGTATGGAAGCGTCGTCATCCTTCTCGGCGTCAAAATCGTCTCCTCCGCTCATCTTTTGGAGCCATCCCTTGGCCTTGCAAGAAAGAAACCAGAACGCATTGATCGATCGAGCATCCCTCGTATCCAAGCTTACCAGCTCAAATGCCGCTGGTTTCACGATCACTTCCTTGCCGCCGCCGCCGCCGCTCTCACCGACTATCCCCGGCGCCGCCGTCTCCCCCATGGCGCTTCCAAGAACCCTAAAATCCCCGGACTTGAATGCTCGAGCAAATACCCTGCCGGCTCAATCATCTCAGGACTCTAGCCGCGCCCCCTCTCCGGATCTCGGACTGCGCAGCCTTGATCCAGCATTACGCGCGCACGAAATCGCTGCGCGAGGGCAAATGCTTCCACGAGGAACTCAAGAAATCCTTCGATCGTATCGATCCCTTCCTCTCCAATTTCCTCATCCTCATGTATGGAAACTGCGGCAGCGTCGCAGACGCGCGGTCGACATTCGAAAGCATCGAGCAGCGCAATGTCTTCTCCTGGAACATGCTTGTCACGGCATATGCCCGGAACGGGCATCTGTCCACTGCGGAGATCATACTCGAGAAATTCCCGGAGCACTGCTCGATCGCCATGAACACCACGATCACGGCGCATGCGAACTCCGGATCGCTCGATCGAGCCAAGAAAATCTTCCAGGAGATGCCAGTGGCGGATGTCGTCGCCTGGACAGCCCTCATCGCCGGACATACCATCGCTGGGCATCACGCGCAGTCGATCCAGCTCTTCCGGGCGATGTGCCTCGGCGGGGTCATGCCCGATCGCGTGGCGCTCATCAGCATTCTCGAGGCCTGCGATTACCTCCGCGACGCGAGATCGATCCACTCTATCATCCTGGAAGCTGGGCTGATCGGAGATCCCCAGATTTGCAGCGCTCTCCTCACGGCCTATGGCAGGAACCGGCGGCTGGAGCTCGCGACATCCATCTTCCAAGCGATGCAGCGCAGGGAATTGGTCTCCTGGAACGCGATGATCTCCGCAGCTGCCAAGAATGGAGATCTTGCTCTCGCGAGAGATCTCTTCTCGAGAATGCCCGAGCGTGATGTGATCTCCTGGACAGCGCTCTTCGCCGAGGTCGCGCAAACCGGGGAGCTCGATCAAGCAAAGCATCTGTTTGATCGAATCCCGGAGCACAACGACATCGCCTGGAACGCGATGATCGCAGCGTATGCCCAGAACGGGCATGGAGAGGAGGCGCTGGAGATCTTCCGGACGATGGATCTCGAGGGCGTCTTCCCAAACAGGGCGACATTCGTGAGCACTCTCGACGCGTGCACCATCTCCAAATCCTCTGCCAAGATGGGACGCTTCCTTCTCGCGGAGCTGCACTGCCTTGGATACCATGGCGGCGACATCCGCCTGGACACCGCGCAGATCAATCTCCTCGGCAAGATTGGGAGCTTGGCCGCCGCGGTGGAGATCTTCGCGGGAGTGATCGACAAGAACGATATCTGCTGGAACTCGATGATCGCAGCGTATGCCACAAACGGGCATATCGAGGAGGCTATGGCGTCTCTCTCCGCCATGACTCTCGACGGCTTCCACCCCAACGAGATCACCTTCCGGATCGTTCTTGGTGCGCTCAGCCACGCCGGGCTGATGGATCCGAGCTGGGATCTCTTCGTCTCCTCTGCCAGGGATTACTCGATCCGCCCGGCGATGGAGCACTATGTTTGCATCGTGGATCTCCTGGCCCGCGTTGGAAGGCTGAGCGAGGCGCGAGATCTCATCGCGAGAATGCCATTTCATCCGGATCCAGTGGCCTGGACGGCGCTGCTCGGGGCTTGCAAGCTCCAGGAGGAGCGGGATCTGGGCGAGTTTGCCGCGGCGATGCTCGTGCAGCTCAACTCTGAGAACGATTCGCCCTACGTCGTCCTCTCGCATCTCTACTCGAAAGATGGATGATCGGGATCTTGGAAGAACCCTAAATTTTGGGCGATGCGATGGCGCCATTTACAAATCCGGGGCTTCTACACCGCCGAGTACATTGGCAAGAAGAAGAAGCTCGAGACCAAGTCACTGGCGGCCGGATGCCTGGATTTCCTCGCTCAGTCGCTCACCAAGATACAGCCCTCGCAGATTTCCGCCAGCAAGGAGCAGCGATCATGGCAGGACGCTTGCGCGGACAGCCCCGACGATCAATTTGCCGAGGACGACGAGGAACCCAGGCCGGCGATCCCCGTGATTGTGAGAGAATGCTGGGATCCACAGCTCCGGGCGTCCGTGGATCAGATCCTCCAGCTCAAGATGCGCGCCCATCCCTCGAGCTACTTCCACGCGATCCGGGATTGCACGAGCAAGAAAGCCCTGCTCGAGGGGACGATGCTCCACGCCCATCTGTGCAAGGGAGGATTCAAGCCCAGCACTGTTCTAGGGAATCTCTTGATCCAGATGTACGGCGTGTGTGGCCGTGTCGACGACGCCAGGGCAGTGTACGACACCCTCGAGTTTCGCAACGTTTTCTCCTCCAACATTATGATCGCGGCATATGCCCATAATGGGCATTTGCAGGACGCCGTGGATGTGTTCCAGTCCTCGCGGGCTACCAACGTGGTGACATGGAACACCATCGTCGCGGCATATGCTCGGAATGGTGGGCTTGAGGAGGCCGCGGCATTGTTTGAGAGGACGCCGGGTCGTAACGTGGTGTCATGGAATAACATGATATCCGCATATGCCCACTCTGGGCATCGTGGCGATGCCATTTTTCTCTTCCGGAAGATGGACCTCGAGGGCATGGCACCAAATCGGGTGACGTTTCTACATGCCCTAGATTCCTGTTCCAGTGTGGGCGAGGGTCTCTGCGTCCACGGGGAGATGCTCCAGTCGAGCGTAGAATTCGACGTAGCCGTAGGTACTGGACTGGTAATAATGTACGGCAGGTGTGGGTACGCCGGAGCTGCCAGATTCGTCTTCGACCGGCTCGGGACCTCCGACGTGGTGGTGTGGACGGCCATGATCGTCGCGTACGCGCAGGCCGGGGACACGTTTGACGCCAGGTCGGTGTTTGACCGGATGCCAGCGCGGAGCTCCGTGACGTGGAATGCCATGGTGGCGGCCTATGCCTTTAATGCCAACGCTACGTCGGCGCTCGCGGTCTTCAAGCTCATGGACCTCGAGGGCGTCCCGGCCACGAAGATCAGCTTTATCTGCGCGCTCGACGCCTGTTCCAGCAGCTCTTTGCTCGCGGCGGGGAAGACGGTCCACGCCAATGCGATCGACAGCGATCTGGGCGACGATCTGCCGGTGGCGAATGCGATCATCAACATGTACGCGAGATGCCGCGATCTGGAGCGAGCCAAGGAGAAGTTTTCCTCCATGCCCAGGAAGAATCTGGTGTCTTGGAGCGCGATGGTTTCGGCGTATGCGCACTGCGGGCAATCGCGGCAAGGATTCGAGACGTTCCAGGCGATGCAGCTGGAAGGATTGAGGGCGACGGAGGTGACGCTGTGTAGCGTTCTTGCGGCAGCGAGCGGCGCCAACAAGTTCCTGGATGGGGTTACGTATTTCCTGACAGTTCCCGAGGACTATGGCTTCCAGCGGATCATGGATCACTACGTTTCCGTGGCGGACATGCTCGCCAGATCCGGCGTGCTCGATCACGGGCTCGCCAGCGCCAAGAACGACGTGGATTGTTTGCTTGCGGAGCACAGGCCGCTCGAGATACCATCGTGAAGCTCGTTTCAACTTGAATGTCGCTGATGCTGTTTCTCAAGGATAGATCTCAAGTATGTGGCTTGGTGAGGCCTGGCATGCCCAAGGAGCCTGGATATGTTGTACATCAAAGAGAAGAACATCGGAAACCTCTCGTCGGGAACCCCGCAAGCCATGGCGGCCTCAGTGAGAGTGTGGTGATCGGGCGTGGGACAAGCTCCGGTGATGGTCATCCGCGAGAAGAGCTGCTGGATGTATCAAGAAGGGACATCGATATCAAGAACACCAGGGAACGTTGTAGCAGTTACCTCGGATGGGCATTTCTTCAGGGCTCTTGCTTTGCCTCGCCACCGCAAGTATTGTTTTGATGGGATGGCGAACACGATGGCATTCTTGGCCACTGGCCACTGGTCGTGAGTTGGTACATGCAATGGCGGCCTGGAAGGACGAGTGTCAAGGGCAGAGTGGGTGGGCATCTAACAAATTGCCTGGCTTGGGTATTTTGTGTGCCCTCACGATCGAGCGAGAGAAACGGTGTATAGTAAACAAGGTATGGCGCTTGTGAAGATATGGCGGCTATGGGAAAGGACGATCATCCTCCTACATGCTCCTGGCAACAAGCAGAGTTTGCAAGCCCAGCAAGCTCAAGAGTGGCGAGGAGCATTTCCCAGACGATGAACTCAACCGCTTTTGTCTGGCGGCACTGCAACAGGGCACAAGTAAGCTCGCTCTTAACTTTTTTTCTGGTTTTTGCTTCCGAACTGACTGGCTGTTTGCTTTTCTTTTTAAGGTTTCCAAGACCCCGACCACCCGGACTCAAGGACTGACTTGGCTGTGGTCGGCTAAGTGGAGATCATCCGATGGGTAAGTCGACTCTCTGGTTGTTCTTGAAGTGATTTTGGATTGGTTTTTGTAGTGGAGTGGAGCAGTTGCTTGACTGCTGAAGAAGATGACCAAACTTATGGTAAGCTGTTCTTCCGTTCCTTAACGGGCTGGCCCTCACGGTTAAGGTAATCGGACCATCCGTGGCCGTGGATTGAGAAATGTTACAGTACTTCCAGTAGCTGAGGATTCTTGCGATCCCTTCAACGTCTTCCTGCCTTCTTCTCTGTGAGCTCCACTGTTCGCTGCTTCTCTTCCAGCGAGTCGACCAGGTCCTTTGCAATTTCATGAGAGACGTGGAGTTACAAGAATCTTGCTCTGCAGCGTCCATCAGTGATCAACAGCGTCTGGTGCAGCAAGAAGATCCAATTACACCAGTGCTTATGAGGCGAAATCTTCTTGATGCTGAAGAAGATGACAGTAAGCTATTTGTGCCCCTTTTGTGGCTTTTAGTGCTCCAGCGAGGAACACCTACGCACTGCAGCTGTCGCTGGGGATTCTCGGTAATGTAAGCAGGCTTTGCGTTTCTCTCTTTTTGCGGATCTTAGCAGCTTCCATGTTCCAGTTTCAAGCAAGAGAAGCAGTATATGGCCCTTGGTGATCGCTTGGACTACCTCGAAGGAAGCTCTACCTCTCTACTGCAGCATCCATCAGTGATTATCCAAGGATTACAGGTCTATGCCACTTTGACGCTCCAGATGAACACTAAACGCTTTTGCGGCTTACGACTCAAATCTGAGCCGGGGTTGCATACTTTTGTTCGTGGATCTCAAGCTGTGAGATGCAGGTTTTGTATTCCATTTTGAAGTAAGACACATGCCAGCAGCGTCTGGCCTTCATCCAACAAACAAGTTCTTGACCCGCTGGATGCTTATGGACAATATCCTTTGGCGGACAGCTTCCGACTCCACCATCCTGCTTTCCAATCCTGCTTTCCACTAAGTGTGAGTCTATCTTGTGTTACGTTTTCCTCTCTCCACGCTTAACACTTGCTTGTAAAGGTTGCGTTGCGGGTGGTGGTCGTTCTGTTCTTTCCATCACGGGCTGCATGGAAGCTCCTCTACAAGGTGGCTACAATCCACGCAACGAGTAAGAGGGTGTAAGTAGCTTGCCGGGAAGAGGTGACTGGGAGATCATCGTGCCTGAGCGAGGAAAGCGAGGAGAGCTGGCTAGCTTGGAAGAAGATAGGCTCACCTTGGTGATCACCGTGTTTTTTACCAAGGCTCCTATGATCAAAGGAAGATGCTTTCATCTGTTCAAAATTTCACAACAAGAACAATCTTTGTATTAGCTATACATACTACTGGTGAGTTTGAAGTTTCCTCTCGCTGGGTGATATCATCTAAAGTTACCACTGCGGATGCCCTCTGGAGCTCACCATCTCTCGTGCTTCGTCACTGCGTGAGAACAATGCGCCTGACTATGTTACAACGGAGTTGACAAAGGTTCTTTGGGCTTGATAACGGTCATGAGAGAGCTGTTTCACCGTCCTCAAGCTCCAGTTAAGCACGCAATCCCCTAAGAGCGTCCTTGCCATCCCCGAAACCAAATCTTTGTCGCCATCACCGGCCTTCGCATTTTCCGTGAGTGGAAACCTCAGCATCGTGGAGGACTGAGGCGAAGCTTTTCCAACAATGAGCTTGCATGCCTTCGTGAACGTAGGGCTACACCTCTTGAAAGCACCTCTCGTTGAGATCCAGTGTAGGTCATTCTATGGAGTCGCACGCCAGCAGTGTGTTTAGCCTGGAGCAGCCGCTGGTCCAGGTAGAGCAAGGCATGGTCAAGAAATTCGGTGGCGATGGCGCCCTCGTGAGCGAAGAGGTGTCACAGTTCCTCCTGGGTGAGCTTCTCTTCGAGATCCAAAGGCACGGCAGCGCTTACGGCAGTCTCAAAGGAACTAGGCGGGCATGGCTACTCACGGCTTTGCTCTCCAACTTGCTCACGCGGTTCTCTCCAAAGCCCGGAGAGCTCATCGAGGGCGAGCCACCGAAATACAAGGCCAGGGCCACCTCCGCTCGCTGCGAGCAGCAGCTTAACGGCGTGATGAATTGCTACACTTACGATTTCAAGCTGGACAAGAGTCTTCCCAGCGCTGTTCTTGTGGTGGTGCAAGGCGGCCGGGACGAATCCAAGTGGCCCGACTGCATGTACCAGGCACTGAGCCAGGCCGGCATGGCGGCAGCGATCAGGAACTCGTCGGCAAACAGGCTGAGGAAAGTCCACTGCCTGGTGCTCGGCGATGGTTGGTGGGGCTGTGCCGAGATCCATCCTCTTGGCTACGTGATGGTCAAGCCCGGAAGCAGGATCTCGAGCAGCAGCGTCGAGGAATTCAGATGCCAGCTTGAATCCAAAGGGACGATCAAAAGCGGTAGTGCCAAGCTCCTCTGGGAGAGCTTCCAGCGCTATCCAGACAAGAAGAGCTTGTTGGTGGAGCTGGAGGAACGAGTGAGGCTGCGAACCGAGGAGGTGGCCAGGGCACTCAACGCCAGGCTCGTTTTCGACAAGATTGTGCACAGCGAGGAGATAGAACGCACCTTCTCGCCCGTGATTGAGAAGAGAAGACTGCTGCTCGTAGGAGCGATTGTTTGTGACAGCATGGTCTACGAGAGCAGCATTCTGAGCTTCCCGGTGGCGCGCAAGGTAAGCGCGCATGACAAGCTTCTTGTTTCGGGTCTCCTCCGGATGTTTTCCGGCAACCGGGTACTGCACTGGACGCTCCCAGGGATCCAGAGACTGGTTGCCACACGCGACAAGGAGCTCGAGGAGAAAGTGGATGCTGTGCTAATGCCATAGCCTTTGAGAACATCTCAAGTTTAGTTATATACTGTCATCCAGCTGAGGATCAATAGCCATGGAACAATGGAAGGAAGTTTGAGATCTTTAGGACGGTTTTCGTGTTGCAAGTGCAAACTAGCGTGAAAGCCATAGTGCCTCGTGAGAATATGCCGTTGCCATGGGTACTAAGCTAGAAGCGAAGGATGGAACTCTTTTATGGTTGGTGTCGTCTCAAGTCCTACAGCTCAAATTGTGATCTCAGTTTGCATTTTTTGTTGGTGGATCACAGGCTATGAGAATTCCATTTTCACACAAAATACATACCAGTGGTGTCTTGCCTTTCATTCCATAAACCAGAGTCCGTGAGGGGCCAAGAACCTGCTGAATGCTTATGGACAATATTCCTTGGCTCAGTTGACAGACAGCTTCTGACTCCATCAAAGCGTAAGTCGTAAGAAGCGCAAGTGGTGGTCGTTCTGTTCTTTACATCACGGGTTGCATGCAAGCCCCTCTACAAGGCGACAGTTCATGCAACGAGCAAGAGGTGGAAGTAGCTTGCCGGGAAGAGGTGGAAGGCGAGCAGCCACATCGTGACTGGGAGATAATCCACAGAGGAAAGAGCGGAGAGCTGGCCAGCTTGGAAGTGGTGGAAGGTGAGCAGCCAGAATGTGATGTTGTCCTCAACAACGCGCCGCTGTTCTTTCATCAGCCCGCAGTTGATTGCTCGGAGGTTGAAGTAACTTGTCACTGTTGCTGGATGAGTCCTCGGCATTTGAAGAGCACAGGGAGGAGCAACAAGCAGATGTTGAAGAGTCGCCACTCGGAGCTGCTGGTTTGTGATGAAGAGTATGCTCTTTTGGAAGAAGATGAAGTTTTAACAAGTTTTTCCGCCAAGGTTCGCGTCGATTCTTATCATCGCAGTGAAGCCAAACGCGACGGCGGTGGCTCTTCCTCTCAGACAGCAATTCCAGGAGCAAAGCGATTGCCATAGTGCTGGAACCGATCGTATCATCCTTGGGGGACTTGTGGACACCATTGTTTTACTTGGCTGGTAAGTTGTCTTTCTAAACTTCTTATTTTTCTACCTGGTTTCTGACGCTTGCGAATGCTTTCAGGGATGCATAAGTTCGTGAAGGAGAAAGTCTGTGGTTCAACAAATGAGCTGGTGCACAGCTTAAAAAGGGAGAGTCGTTTGAAGCAAGCATATGTTTCAAGCGAGACTGGAGAGTTTTCGGAGTTCTTCTCGACGTCCGACGTCCAGATCTGGTTCCCAGGGCTTCGAGAATCTACATTATCCAGCTATCGAAGTCCGAATTGACAAGCAGCTGGACTCCAGATATCAGGCGCGAGTTATTTGGCTTTTCTAGAGGCAGCATCCATTCTACGGTGGTTACTCTATCAGCTTGGTACGCAGGAGCGTCTCATCTTTTGACAAGCATCTCGATTTCAATCCGGATGGAAGATATTTGAGACGCAGAATCCGATAGTTTTATCAACCGGTACTTCTAGAAAGTCTTGGAGCTTCAGCTTCATGAGACTTTAGGCTTGGCGGTTATCAGAGAAGAGTTGGACAGGGCTTAGAGACGGGTGATTAAGAAGAAGGCTCTAGTTTTCACAGGCTGTAGAAAGCTTGCCAGTACTGGACAAGATGCTGCCCGAGTTGCGTCCAGCTTTACCGACGCGGTCTGATGCTCAGGGCTATATCCATCATAAAGAATAACCATGCAATGTATCAACTGCAAGGTAAGTTTCGTGGCGATAAAATCTTCATTGCGATCGCCAACATCATTATAGCAAGTCCTGAGAGTTTTTGGATCAGATCTTCCAGGCATTTACACTTCGAAACGTCAACTGGTTCCTCTCGACGTCCATTACAGAGCAGATGAGATTACAACGTGGTTACTTTGGTGCGCAGCGACAGCACTCAGGAGTTCCCGCAGGCGGACCACAGCTCAATTAAACCGTTCCTCGCTTTCCACAGCTGCTCGCAGAACACCTGGCCAATGAGGAAGAATATGGGATGGCTGAGCGAGTGGAAGTTGCTTGCTTGGAAGACGAGCAGCCGAACATTGTGCCCGAACGAGGAAAACGACGAGCAGAGGTTGCTAGCTTCGAAGAAGCTCAAGCGGTGGAAAACGGTTGATTGCTCGGAAGTTGGAAGTAGCTTCTCCACTGTTGCTGGTCCGCATTTGAAGAGCACAAGGAGGAGCAAGAAGAAGATCTTGAAGAGACGCCATGTTTGAAGCGACAGTTGAGAGTTTTCAGAGCCTCAACCAGTTCTTCTCGACGTCCAACATATGATCTGGTGCTCAGGGAGGGCTGCTTTAAAAGTCGAAGCAGCTCGACTCTAATCAGGATGGTGATATCAGGTGCAATTTTTGAGAGGCGACATCCATTCTACGGATCAGAAGCCTCTCAGATGCATCGCCACTTAAAACCAATCGTTCCCGAGCCTTAAGTTCGCGACGATGATTAGCTCAGTTCCATCTGCGTAGTAACCATCGTAGAGATGGATGCTGCGTCTCTAATATCTTCCATCCGGATTGGAGTCGAGTTGCTTGACAACTCTGACTTCGAAAGCTGGAGATAAGTGATAAGTGAAAAGGAAGGAAGCAAGCGTTTAGCGAGTAATAAAAGAAGATATTGGGAGTCACCATATCCGTCGCCATGGAGCGTCTCAACAAGAATTACTACGTTTTCACTCGGAAGAAATCACAACGATCTGAGGTGCCGCGATGAAGAAGAGGTTTACAAGCATTCTCATGCTTCGAGATTTTTTCCACTGCGCTTACAATTCACGCGTTTGCAAGGTGCAAAGCTACAAGGCATACGAAGAATTTTAGTTTTTGTATTGTCCAATACATTCGCAATGGAGGACAATGCTCTCTTCTATGGTATTACGAGGCTTGGCGGACTCTTCCTCTTCCTCTTCTAGGGCAGCTCTCTCCGTGGGGGAGTGCGCGGCTCTTCTCCGGCAATGGGGCAGCGCCAAGAATCTCCTCGAAGGCAGGAAGCTCCATGGATTTCTGCGCGACACCGGGCAAGACCAAGACACGTTTCTTGGGAATCTCCTCGTCCAGATGTATGGGAGCTGCGGTAGCACGGATGAAGCATACGCTGCCTTCTCCAGGATTTCCAGGCGGAATGTCTTCTCGTGGAACATTTTAATCACGGTATTTGCCCAAGACGGGCATTTGCAACGAGCGGAGATTTTGTTCCAGAAAATGCCCGAGCGTGATCAGGTCTCCTGGAATGTGATAGTCGCAGCTTTTGCTCGGGCCGGCGACATCGATCGGATGCTCGGGCTTTTGGACGCGATGGAGCGGCAGGGAATCTATCCAAACAGACTGACTTTCGTGGCTCTTCTCGACGCATTTGACCGCAGCGAGATGGATCCATCACGATTTTCTGATGAAGGTGAGCTCCTTCACTCCAAAATCTCGCAGCATGGTTTCCATTTCGATCTCCAGATCCAGACTTCTCTGATCAAAATGTATGACAGACTGGGGAGCGTCGAGAAAGCCATCGCGGTGTTTGATCGGATCAGCAGTCCAGACGCCATCGCGTGGAACAGTCTTCTATCAGCATTTGCTCGGAACGGAGATCTCGACGCCGCAAATGCTTTGTTCCAGCGAATGCCGGAGCGAAGTTTGGTGTCCTGGAACATCGCCATCGCTGCGAACCTCCACTGCGGCCGTGCAAAGACCGCTCTCTGGTTGCTCCAAGTTATGGATCTCGACGGTGGCGATACTGCAGATAGAGCAATCTTCATCACTGCTCTCTATGCTTGTGGAGTACTCGAAAAACTGAGACTGGGCGAAGCCATCCACGCTGAGATCGCTGCGTTTGGCCTGGAAACAGATGTTTGCATCGGAACAGCGCTGATCAGCATGTATGGCAAATGCCACCGAGCTCTACTCGCTCGCGACGCTTTCGACAGGATCAAAGAGAAGAACCAGGTGGCCTGGAACGCGATGATCACAGCATACACTCAAAACGGTCACTTTGATCTTGCGAGGGGTTTGTTCGATCTCATGCCTGGATCAGACGTCGTGTCCTGGACGCTCATGCTCACGGAGTTCGCGCAGAAGGGACTTATCCGGGAAGCACGAGAGATCTTCGATCGAATTCCCGTCCGGGACACGGCTAGCTGGAACGCCATGATCTCAGCTCACGCAGCAAATGGAGAAAGCTTGCGAGCTATCGATCTTCTAGCAAAGATGGATCTTGAAGGATTTGAGGCGGACAGAGCTACGTTTATCGGCGTCTTAGCATCTCACTTCGCTCCATCCGAGGCAAGGTTGCTCCAGGATTTGATATCCAGCTCGGGCTGTCGCAGCGATAGCTCAGTCGCCACCGCACTTGTGAGCATGCATGGCCGATCTGCTCGCCTCGCCACCGCGCGCGAGATCTTCGATGCGACTCGCGAGAAGAACGTCGTGCTGTGGAGCGCGACGATTGGGATCTACGCCCACAATGGACTCTTCGACGCGGCCATGGAGCTCTTCTTCCGGATGTGCTTGGAAGGCGTGCATCCAAACGACGTTACGTTCGTGAACATTCTCTCTGCGAGTGCTCACGCGGGGGACTTGAGCAACGCGAGGCAGTGGTTCTTCTCGGTGGCGACGGACTTTGGGGTGGCGTATACCAGAGATCACTACGTTTGCATGGCGGACATGCTAGCGCGTTCCGGCCTCATGGACCAAGCACGGGAGCTTGTGGGTGATATGCCGTTTGTGCCGGACAGCTGCTCGTGGAAGACGGTGCTCGCTGGGTGTTTAGTCGCGGGGAGCTTGAAGCAAGCCGAGAGAGTTGCTTGCAGTGTGATCGAATGTGAGCCGGAGGACTCGTCGCCATATATCATGCTGTCAAACATCTATTCCGCAGCGAAGGATCAAATTCTTGTCTGCTAATTTCCTGGCGGCAAGCTTTCAACTTTGGAGGAGCTAGAAAAGGTAAGCTTCCATTGTTTCGTGATTTCACTGTAACATCCAATTCTACAGGAAGATAAGCATCAGTACACCTTCGTGGACTTCTGGAAGAAGGTATTAAGATGTTTTGGATATTGCTGGATTCTTGGTGCAGCAAACCTTTGACTTTCCGCTCTCGCAGCCCACTAACTTCAGTTGCTAGATTTCTCAATAGGATAACGCGGTAAGATTTCTTGACTTTCTAGCAGCGTTTCTCAAGCTTGTCGGCAGATCTATGCGGTAGATCGGTCATTTTGGTCGCCCAGAAGTGGTGCAGTAAACTGAACTTCTCATGATTACGTCTAAGAGGTAAAGTGCGTTTCGTCAACGGATGCTTTTTTGGTCCAGCACACATTTGACTTGCGACTTTCTATGCACAGCCACCAACTTTTAGCAGGCCGAGCTCTCGATTTAAATGTTATCCGCAGCAGCAGCAGCAGCACTCTCATCTCAGGAAACTCGCTTCACTTCATCCGGGAAAAGCTAGAACAAGCTCTTTCTTGATCGTGGTATGTGATTTCACGAGTGAAAGCTTTGATATTTGTGTTCACTAATTCGTGAAAATCTAGCAAAGATGGCCTCGCGCTTGACCGTCTACGCCGAGAAGCCAATGACCATCAAACCGGCGCGTCCCACCAAGAACCAGACCATCTTTCTTAGCAACATGGACCAGCAAGTCTTCTTCCACGTCGAGATGCTTTTCATGTACGATGTCCAGTCCCCGGACACGGGAGACGTGGTGGACAACGTACGCAACGCTCTCGCCGAAGCTCTCGTTCCATACTACTTCGCGGCGGGGAGATTCAGAGTGAACGAGCAAGAGAAGAGGCTTGAGGTGGAGTGCAATGGAGCCGGGGCGCACTTTGCCGGTGCCTACTGCGATTCCACCATCGCCGAGCTGGGCGATCTGCGAATTCCCAATCCAGACTTCCGGAAGCTGCTCGTTTACCCGGTTGATGTCAAGAAGATCGAAGATATCCCCTTGTTTTCCATCCAGGTAAGCCAGAACTTCTTCTCTTTTTCACTCCACCGATCTTTCTTTGTTCTCATCGCTCTTCTTTGTGTTCTTGAAGGTGACGAGATTCAAATGTGGGGGATTCATTGTCGGGATTTACACTAGCCATGTCGTGTTTGATGGGATTTCGGGATGCCAGTTCTTCAGTGACATCGGCAGGATCTCTCGCGGCGAGTCCATCGCGGCCAAGGCAACCATGACTCCCGACAGGACGACCCTCCGCTCGCGATCGCCACCGAGTATCTCCTACGCCCACCCGGAGCTCATGAGACTCCCGGACATTCCCGCGAGGCTGCTCTTCAACCCGGCCTCGTACGACGTCTCCAAGCCCCCAGTGCACGCCTTCAAGACGTTCTCCTTCTCTCTCGCGCAGCTCGATCTTCTCAAAAAGAGAGCTATTGAGGGAGGAGAGGTCTCCCGCTGCTCCACCTTTGAGGCCCTCACAGGCCACGTCTGGAAGGCACGCACCACCGCTCTTGGGATGGACCCATCCGCCATGGCCAAGCTCTTCGTGGCGATGAACCTCCGGGACAAGCTCAAGAGCCCGGCGCTACCCGACGGCTTCACGGGCAACGCGGTGGTGGCGGCGCCATGCGTTGACACGACCGTTGACTCGGTAGTCAATGGCTCGCTGTCGCTGTGTGTGCGCAAGGTCCGGGATGCAATCGCGAGCGTGAACGAGGAGTACATCCGGTCGGAGATCGACTGGTGCGAGGTCAACGGGCACGGGATCATTGACCTGCCCGGCGGCATGATCATCACGCCCTGGTCAAAGCTGCCTTTTGATGGCGTTGACTTTGGATGGGGGCGGCCGACGTACATCGCGGCCCCGGTCAACGACAGGCCCGAGTACGTGCTGGTGCTGTCCAGCTGCAAAGGAGATGGCGGTGTGGACGTGTTCATGGCTATGGAGTTTCACAAGATGAGAAAGCTGGAGGAGTGCCTTAGTATATGAGCGTTTTGTTTGTACATTAAGATTGCTAGCTTTGTAGCAAAGTGGAAGTATTTGTATACTTTATTTGGTACAGGAGTGTCGTCCAAATGCCTGAAAGTTCTGTCACTGTAGTGTGTATAAATCCGTCAGAAAAAGAAAAGCTCCGCTTCTTGCTCGCGACTTCGGCCTTGGCGAGCGAGAAGAACAGATGAGTACTTTCAATGGATGATCATGAGCATCTATACAGTCTGCCTGAAGGGCTTTGATTACAACGATGGTTACTTAAGCATTTGATGCGGAGCTAAGACATGCATAGTTGAGGTTACTGCTCGTGGATCAGCCCGTCCACTTCTCACATAATCGTTCAAGATCAGCTCCAACAGGCATGTCAGAGGAAAACAGAGCTTAGAACAGCTTTTCGGGGTTCCAGAGTTTCTGGTGGGGATTGATCGGTTTGCATTTGGAGTAGCAGCAGAAGTTTTCAAGATCTGGAGCAGCGAACGAGCCTCGAGCAGTGAAGGGGGCGAGGAGGCCCTCGAAAAGGATGAGAGTTCTATACTTGAGGAAGGACTGGGAAAGCGAAAAGAATCGCAAGCATTCTCGTCTTGATGAAGAGTTGACTCCAGAAGTGTTGAGAATGGAAGAGTGTCGGATGAGTAAGGGAGAAGAACTGGCTTACCGCAAACGAGGGTATATTCTTACCATTTGAAATATAAATATTTGACTAGCCCACAAGCACGGGTTGGGATATGGCTGCGTCCGTCGGCGCCAGGGCGATGGCGGCAGCAATTCATCCTAGCGTTGCCCTCGGGAATTGTCGCGACCGACCACGTCCACATCGAGCGGCGGGGGCGGCGGCGGCGGCATGCATGATCGTCACGGTGAGCTCTCGTCATCTAGGGCTTAAGAGCTCACAATTCCGTCCATAGCACTCGAGGAAATCCTCCTCGCTTCTCGAGAAAGGCGCTGGCGATGGCCGCGATGAGTGGCGCGCCGTCCCGGATTTGTGGCGATCGTGCTCGGAGAAATATGGCAAGAGGGTCGCGCTTGTCGACCCTCGTCGCGATCCTCCCGTCCGGATGACTTATCTCCAGGTGAATTTTTCCCTTTCTTCCGAGAAAACTAGAGTGGCTGAGTTTTCTAAGTGGGAAGGTCGAGGAGGCCATCCTCAACTTTGCGGAAGCCATGAGAAGCTTGGGTGTTTCGCCCGATGAACACGTCGCTCTCTTTGCTGACAACTCGTGTCGATGGCTCATCGCCGATCAAGGTATGGACAAACGAAACTTAAGTCTTCTCACACTTGAAGCTTTACCAGGAATTATGGCCATGGGAGCAGCAAATGCCGTTCGAGGCTCAAGATCATCCGACGAGGAGCTCGTTTATATTCTCAAGCACTCCGATAGGTAGTTCTTCTGTTTAACTTTTTTTCCTCACTCTCGTGGTTTCCATTCGCAGCGTAGCTCTTGTCATCGACACTCCCGAGCTGCTCAAGAGGCTCGAGGCACGGTTTAACGATTCTCTGTCGCTTAAGTTCGTTGTCCTTCTCTGGGGACAAAAGCCAGAGAGCTTCGCATTTCCCGTCTTTACATACGAGGAATGCATTTCCCTTGGCCAGAAAAGCCGAGAAAAACCTGGCACGACAAGTAAGATCCTCTGGAGCTTCGTCCCTCTCAGGCATTGATACTGGCTTTATTTCTTCGTTTTGTTGCAAGGTGCTCTTCCCATCCAACCTCAGGATGTTGCCACCATTGTCTACACAAGTGGAACAACTGGAAACCCGAAAGGCGTGATGCTTACACACGCAAATATTATTCACCAGGTTCTTGTGAAATACTTCGTTCGAATCAAATAGCTTTTGTGACGATCTTACGAGATTCGTTTTGTTACAGATGAAGTATTTAGATCAATGTATCCAACCCGTACCAGGAGATAGATTTCTGAGCTTGCTTCCACCATGGCATATGTACGAAAGAGTCGCCGAGTACTTTACTTTCACGCGTGGAATCGAGCAAGTTTACACCACTGTCAAGTTTTTAAAGGTACACTAGTTTAGCATTTGCTTTGTAACTCTCATGGATGCGCAGGACGATTTACAAGCTTATCCCACTCAGTATTTTGTCTCTGTACCTCTTGTTTATGACACTTTATACAGGTACGGTATTCTCCAAGGCTCTTTTTCTTTTTCTATCTCGTAAAGCTGAGGTTTTGCATACTGCAGCGGTGTCCAAAAGCAGCTATCAAAAGCGTCTGGCTTAAGGAGAGCGCTCGTGATGGGATTTATGGCAATCAGCTCATTTTTCAAGGATCTTAAACGGATTTCCGAGGTTATTAACATCAACATATGCTGAATCAATTTATATCTCACATTGATGTACAGGGAAGATCTCTCACTAGAGCCAAGGAGCATCCAAACAGGCTTGAATGCTTTCTTGCAGGGGTAATGGCTATGATATTGTCTCCTCTACATTTTCTCGGGGATAAAATTGTATTCAGCAAGATCCGAGCCGCGATAGGAATTCAAAAGGTGGGAAAAAGCTAGATGTCTGGAGAAGGTTTTAATGTTTTGATATTCTCAAACAGGCAGGAATAAGTGGAGGTGGCAGTCTTCCTAAGCATGTCGATAAATTCTTCGAGGTACCCATACATGTCTGGTTTGATTGCAACCAGCACTAGTTTTTGTAGGTCGTCGGCATCACACTCTTGAATGGTTATGGTTTGACAGAGTCCTCTCCCGTAGTGTCAACTCGAGCTTTTTCCGACAATGTAAGTTCTATTCAAGCTGCTCACACAGAGACTCCAACATGATTTTGTTTTCTTGTTCTCAGGTACTCGGAACAGTTGGAATGCCTCTTCCAGAAACTGAAGTAAAAATTGTGGATCCCGAAAGCAGGAAACCCTTGGCTAATGGAAATAAAGGAATAGTGACGGTTCGTGGTCCACAAGTTATGAAAGGATACTACAAGGTTTGCTTTCGAGTTTCACTCTTGCATCACATCTCGCTCAGTTTTGTTGTCGCGTAGAATCCCGATGCAACACAAAAAGCCATAGACGGTGATGGCTGGCTTGACACGGGTGATCTTGGCTGGGTCGCCCCAGTGTGGAAAACTGGCGCTGCTAGAAAATGTGGAGGAATGTTAGTCTTGGAGGGGCGTGCAAAAGAAACTATTGTTCTCTCAACAGGTTATGGAGTAAGCTTTTGCTTTTCTCAAGTATTCACGAGAATCATTTTTCAGGTGAGAATGTGGAGCCAACAGAGATTGAAGAGGCAGCACTGCAAAGCAGCCTTATTGATCAAATCATGGTTGTCGGTCAGGTACTTTGTATTCTTTGGTTTCGTTTTGTGAGATTCATCTAACGTACTTTTGCTGTCTATACAGGACCAAAGGCGCCTTGGAGCACTGATAGTTGCAAGCAAGGATACAGCAGCCACATCTGCAAATGATTTGAAGAGTTTGGTTCGAGAAGAACTTCAAAGATGGTATGATATACGCTCCCGTCTTTCTTCGGCTACTTCTAATATGTTTGGATTCTATGTGCAGTACGTCAAGTTGTTCTTTCCAGATTGGGCCCTTTGTCATCGTGAATGAACCATTCACAGTAAATTTAACTTTCAAGCTCAATGGCTCTGGCTGAAATGGGTTGTATATTTTCAGATGGAGAATGGGCTATTGACACCGACAATGAAGCTTCGCAGGGACGCCATTTTAACGCGCTACCGGAACCAAATCGACTACCTATTCAACAAGACATTATAAATATGTGTACAAGAATGATTCATTATGCTTAAACCGTAATAACAACTTACTATGTGAAACAGCCATTTTCCACTTCAATGGAGAGTTACATACCTCGCACACAAGGCTAAATTCTTACGCAGCAAAAGCAATGCGATAAAATGGCCTCTATATCATCGAGCACGGTTACGATCTGTGATTATGCCAGGAAAGGGCACTTGCTGGAAGCGAAACATGTTTTCGAAAGAATGCCTCAGCTAGATACTGCATGCTGTAATGCAATGCTCGCGGCTTATTCACGATGCAGATTGCTAGATTTAGCCCATCAAATCTTTGAGAGCATACCTCGGCCGAATCTCATTTCATGGTCCACCATTATCTCTGCTTATGCCCAAGCTGGGTATATTGATAGTGCCCGACAACTGCTTCATCTTATGCCTTTGCACAATCTTGTGCCGTGGACTGCGATGATCGCAGCGTACGCTCGAGCCGGCTCGCTCTCTCTAGCAGAGCATATCTTTGACATGATGCCCGAACGAGATCTTGTATGCTTCAATACTTTGCTTGCGGCCTATGCCACGCTCGGGCTCGTAAACCAGGCCGAGAGATTCTTTCATGAAATGCCCCAGCGAGATCTTTGCTCGTGGAATAGTCTACTTTCCGTAATGGCTATGCCAAATGATGCCCAAAAGGTATGGGAGAATATGCCCCAGAGAAATCTAGTTTCTTGGAACACAATGCTGGGTCTCTACTTAGATTGCGGTAAATTAGATGCCGCCAAGCTGGTGTTTGAGGACATGCCGGAGGGGAATCTAGCAGCGTGGACTTCCATGGTCAGAGGATATGCCGACGCCGGATACCCAGAATATGCTCAAAGTATTTTTCTACAGATGCCGAAGCACGACCTCGTGGCATGGAATGCTTACTTGGCTGCGTATAGTAACAATGGTCATGTAGATCAGGCAAAAAAAATATTTAATAGGATGCCATGGAGAGATATAGTGTCGTGGACAACCATAGTTGTCGCAGCTGCCCAGTATGGGTATTTGGAAGAATCCTTACGATTGCTGTATTGCATGCCGTATTGGAACACTTTGGCGTGCAATGCCGTGCTAGCAGCCTTGGCGAAAGCCAATAGAGTGCAGATATTAGAAATCATGATCGATTATATTTTTGAAAAAGATATTGTAACGTGGAACATACTTTTAACTACTTATGCCACGAATGGGGATTTTGAGCGAGTCTTGGACCTTTTTAATTCTGCGTTCGAGAAAAATATGGTATCCTGGAATATTGTGGTATCGTTTCTTGCTTGCAGGGGCCAATTAGAGGAAGCGAGAATCTGTTTTGAGACTATGCCGGAGCAAAACACTGTACCATTATGCGCATTAATTTCTGCATACGCCCGAATGGGGCACCTAGACGAGGCAAAACAACTTTACAGAGCTGTACATATTGAGAGCACTGAAATAAAAACGGCAATGATCAGCGCGTTTGCAGAAAATGGCTGCGTTGAAGACGCCAAATATCTGTTTGAATCTGGTACTAATCATGATTTGGTGTCGTGGACTGCTTTTATGACCGCATTTGCCCTTAATGGGCATTTTGGTCCTTGTGGGTCCTTGTTCTTGCGTATGCCCGAAAGGGATGTGGTTGCATGGACCACACTGCTTGTAGCTTACGCACACAACGGCAGGTCCGACGAGGCACTATACGTTTTCCACTCCATGAACGCCATGGACGTGTCCGTGGATGGATGCTTTGGCTGTGCGCTCGTGGCATGCAGCCACGTTGGCAGCGTCTACGCGGCAAGATCTTGCTTCGTGTCGATAGAGATGGACTTCCATGTACAGCCCGTGAAGCTCCACTTTCGGTGCATGGTCGATGTCTTGGGGAGAGCCGGGCATTTGCATTCTGCCCAGGAGCTGCTCAAAACCATGCCCTTCGAGCCCGAGACTGTGGACTGGAAGTGCCTCTTGGGGGCATGTAGGAGCTACAGATCCTCCGTTGAGTTTGGGAATTTCGTTGCCAAGAATGTCATTGACAAGGATCCGAGAGGAGCTGCTGGTTATGTCCTTGCAGCCAACATGATCGTCTCTTAGTTCTAAGCTAGAGTCGATGAGTTCTAAAGATCTCAAACGTCGACCATCAGTCGTGATGGTTGTTCAATTGTTCATGGCTATCGATTATCGGCAGCACGAAAAGTAACAAAGGCTATGGCATTAGCACAGCATCCACTCTCTCTTCCAGCTGTTTGTCGCGTGTGGCAACCAGTGTTTGGATCCCAGGGAGCGTCCAGTGCAGCACCCGGTTGCCAAAAAACATCCGGAGGAGACCCGAAACAAGAAGCTTGTCATTGGCGCTTACCTTGCGCGCCACCTGGAAGCTCAGAATGCTGCTCTCGTAGACCGTGCTGTCACAAACAATCGCTCCTATAAGCAGCAGTCTTATCTTCTCAGTCACAGGCGAGAAGCTGCGTTCGATATCCTCGTTGTGCACAATCTTGTCGAAAACGAGCCTGGCGTTGAGTGCCCTGGGCGCCTCCTCGGTTCGCAGCCTCACTCGTTCCTCCGGCTCCACCAACAAGCTCTTCTTGTCTGGATGGCGCTGGAAGCTCTCCGAGAGGAGCTTGGCGCTACCGCTTTTGATCGTCCCTTTGGATTTAAGCTGACGTCTGAATTCCTTGAAGCTGCTGCTCGAGATCTCGTTTCCGGGCTTGCCAGGCTCGACCATCACGTAGCCGAGAGGATGGAACTCTGCACAGCCCCACCAGCCATTGCCGAGCACCAGGCAGTGGAGCCTGTTTGCCGACGAGTTCCTGATCGCTGCCCCCATGCCCGCCTGTCTCAGTGCCTGGTACATGCAGTCCGGCCGCTTGGTTTCGTCCCGCCCGCCTTGCACCACCACAAGAACAGCGCTGGGAAGACTCTTGTCTAGCTTGAAATCGCAAGTGTAGCATTTGATCACGTAGTTAAGCTCCTGCTCACAGCGAGCGGAGGTGGCTTTGGCTTTGTACTTCCGTGGTTCTCCGTCGATGAGCTCTCCGGGCTTTGGAGAGAATCGCGTGAGTAAGTTAGAGAGCAAAGCCGTGAGGAGCCATGCCCGCGTAGTTCTTTTGAAAGCGCTGCCGTGCCTTTGGATCTCGAAAAGAAGCTCACTCTTCGCTCACGAGGGCTCTATCGCCATGACGCTGCCTTGTGTGGCTCCATCAAGTTTTTAGGGTTCTTGCGGGCGGGAATCTCCGTTGGAGCTTGAGGTGATGAAGCCACAAGAATCTTTGTCAATTTCGATTCGAAAGAGCATCGTTCTCACGCAGCAATCTTTGTAAAGAAGCATAACTTGGATGTAGTAAGTGTAGTGAAGTGAAAATCTAGACTAGGAACCATTAAATTTACATCATGTGAAACACTGGAGTCTTGGTGAAAAACTCGGTGATCACCAAGGCGAGGAAGCCAAGCATCGCGGTTCGCCCATTCCAGCGCTCCGCCATGGCTCTAAATGGCCCAAGCGATCTGCTGTCCGGGCTCTCGCCCTTAAACATGGGTACCAGCGACGCGTACGCGAATAGCTGTGCCACCGCCAGAAAATGGAAAAGACCAGTGCTCCCCGGCGAGTAGAGCTGCTCCGCCACCGTTTGTCCCGTCATTCGCTCCACTGCGAATGCCCACACCAACCCAACCATTGCCTGTTTGACAAGTTCACGTTAGTTACTTGGTTGATCTAGAAAAAAACACGAAGAAAAATCACCAATCGCTTACCAGTCTTCCGTTGATCGTTTCCGGGCCGGCTCCATCGAACGCCATCAAGCTGGGGAACGATCGATCGCCAGTCTCTGGTCGCCTCTCGACCTCTGGCCTGGGATAGAAGGATCCGGACGATGGGACGGCTCCAAACACGGAGCGCTTCTCCGACTCGTTCTCGGCCTGGTTCTTGAGCACCTCCTCGCGGGTGATCTCCTTCTTGGTGCCGTCGAGAACGCCACTGATGCCGCCATCGCCACCATCCCTTGATTTGTTCGAGGACGCTCTTACTACTACTAGATTTCTTGTCCCGATGGAGCTTGTGGGCGATTGTGATTGGACATGGATCTTATTGGAGATGAGCGAGGAAGAAGAGAGAGCTGTGATACCGCTGCCTGTGACGAGTGCCATTGTTTTAAGCTGGGAGCTAGCTAGCAAAAAATTCAACAGTGCAACAATGAGCTACTCTCTTTGATGTTTGATGGCAAATGACACACAGGTATTTATATGGAGTGGGGATTGTATAACGTGGCAAAATTGACTTTCCATACGTGGCAAAATCGAGGTCTCGGCTCGTGTCCACTGTATGTGTCGCATCTTGTGCGGTGAAAGTGGCCAAAGGTAAAAGTTCTCAAGGTGTGATATTTTTGAACTTTCGTTTCATTTCACCATTGGCACAGGGGGGTGTTGTTTTTTTCTGAAACAATTGTCTGTACATAGTTATGTATGACATGTTTAATAAGCAAGATCTAATCATGCTGGAGGTCTTGATGGACTTGCAAAAAAAATGGCGAATGCCAAGGAAGGTTACTTGAGAGTGTCTACTTGACTATCTCTCCTGTATATCACGAGAAAGAAAAAGAAACGAGTTGAGAGAAACAAAAGAGAAAATCATGGAAAACTCGTACAGTCTTGAAGAACCAAAACGCAGTCTGTGTTCGCAAGATGTTAAAGAGCTTGTGAGTCACAGTACTGCCTTGAATGCTCGCTTATATTTTCTTGTGATTCTCTCTGTGGCACCAAACCATCGATTGAGGTAGTCTCTTCGTCTAGAACCACAATCTCCGTTCTGTTCCTTGCCAGACAAAAGTAGCTGCTTGTCCCACTTCCAGACACTATGAGTTATAATACCAACATGATCAGTGGAGGCTTTAGAAAATACCAACAGAACATACTAACTTCAGAATCCTTCAGCAGTGATTGTTACCAATTTTAGCACCTTCCAGATTTTCTTTAGAATATTCTAATTTTGTTTCCGTTTTTAAGACTAAAAACAAAACATCACACACATGAAATAAGTTAATATTAGCGAGATCAAAAGTACACTAAAGGTTCACACTTTCACTCGATAAAGTTGTCCAGCTTACACTAAAGTTTTTTTTAGCAAGCTTGCTCACTTGGCCATCATCTCTTGAAATGCCTTTGATTTTACATCACCATCAAAGAGTTGCAAGCGACACAAGGCCATGACTTCCAAAGTGTCACTGCATTGTTAGTAATATAGAAAAAAACATTTTACACAAAAGAACTGCTGTTCATCTTTTAATTTCCACTTCCACAATTTTTCTTGTGCTTCTTTCATCTTGCACTAGATGAAAGCCTCCTCAATAGGACTGTTTGCCATCTTTCTGTGAGAAGGCCTAAGTAGAGGGCTCTTGGAACTGGGCAAAGCTTCTTAGCTCTTTTAACATGCATGACATGCCCAGGCTCTTTCCATGTGAGGTACCTCGACTTATCATAAACCTGTGCGCTATTTAGTATGCTCCAAATATCTTCCACACTGGCTACTTTGCTGCATCCAGAGTTTTTCTCAATGCTGTATCAAGAAAAATCTTCTTGACAGCTTCCTTTGCTTCTCTCTTGATTCAAGGGATTGTCAGGACTGAGACTGACACCCCAGAGTTCAAACGCTGGGCCAGTTTTAAACCAACACATCTGTATAGAGAGGAACTTTGTCTTGTAAAATCAAATAAAAAACAAATATTGCACTCATTATAACAACAACAGCTTATATCATGAATATTGATTCATATGAGATTTCAGAAAAAAAAGGTGCTTATTAAATAATAATGAAAAATCTATAAGATGACCAAAATAAACTTGCAATTATCTATATAAGGGATTGGTCACCTAAACATTATATTTGTTTGAATTAGACTCCTCAAACTTAAAGATTATATAAACAACTGAATCAAGCCCAAGGGATTATAAGAAGTTTAAAGAATCATTGTATTAGATTTAGTAGATTTGTGTGAATTATTTATAAGTGTGAGGTCCAAGTGTACGGCTACAATGTTGTATACTAATATTAGCATAGTGAAATTTTGGTAACTATTGAATTGGTTTCAATTTAGACTATTCACTCTTATAAGGTTTTTGGGCTAATTGATATGCATATTTTTTATATCCCCTTTTCATATTCCATACACTCACATTGGTGGAGGTGAGGGGCACCTTTTATTGTCTCTGAGAGCGCTTGGATTTAAAATTTTGGTTTATATTTAACTTTTGCATCGTCTAGATCTAACTTTTTCCATTTTCTTTCTTTTGTTCTTTTCTTTCAAGATTTTGGTTTAGATCTAGCTTTTTGCATTATGTAGATCTCTTAGCTTTTTTTTCATTTCTCTTCTTTTGCTCTTTCTTTTTCGTTCATCTTTATGGTAGATCAGCAATCTCCTCTTTCTTTGACTTTGGAGTAGTAATTGGTACAATTGCTTGATACTATGTGATTGTAATTGAATAACCAAACTTAGTTGATAATGGCAACATTCACAACATGTGGTATAACTCTTCCTGCTCTTAGTGCCAATCCTCATGTTCGGCTAGAGTTCTTATGCATGAATCTTGGGGATGATGTATACCATTGGTTTGATCACTTCATGGTGATTGCCATATATCATTCTTGGGATGATGCTTGATGTTTGCGTGATTTTCCCACGTGTCTCCAAGGGACGGCGTTGCAGTGGTATAATGGTTTGTGCGTAGCCACTCGTGGGGATTGGAGTGTTCTTCTAGATGTCTTTAAACACACATTCGAACATGCCGATGATTGTGATGATGCTTTCCAAGAAATATGTCGGAGCAGATCAAGCTAGGAATGTTGTGGCCAACACTTCGTCAAAATCTTGTTGGACTTGTGCATGCACTTGCTCCCACCACCCTTGATGATGCTCTTCACTTGGCACAACATTATGAGATGCCTCTTCCACTTCTCGCTACACATCCTTCAACTCCACTTCCTATGGATGATAGTCCTGTTCCAATGGAGGTTGATGCTGCTGCTGCTCAAATCCAAGGACAAGGGCGAGGCCGTGGCCGTGGCCATGATGTTCGTTGCTGGGTGTGTAATGAAGTTAGTCATA